GGCGACCAACACTCTCGTTCTCAAAACGAAGTGTGGACAGACGTATCGCGTACCTTTCATAGGTACCACARCGAYACCACGCCCCGATCCTCCTCCCCCGGAGCCTTCAGTGCCCACACCATCTCCCTCTATCACTGTCACCTCGCCTCGGCAGTTCGCTCACTTCATTCGACAGGACGACGTCACCTTCTTTATAGTGGACGTGACGGATCTCTTACACTATGATCCACCCTGTCCCGACACCGAGCTCATCCCTCTGGACCCAGATCCCCCCTCTATCTCCATGGCTCCCATCTCTACTTCCGTCCCTCCACCGTCCGTCGAGTCCACCCCGTCGTCGCGCGCTGACGCTGACGTTGAGGAACTCGCACGATATACGGCTGACTTGGAGCCCGCAGTTYGTGACCTCATCCGAGAGTACCACGACGTTTTCCCATCGTCGTTCTCGTACGCCGGCATCCCACCGATGCGTGACGTCGAGCACTCCATTCAGCTCGTGCTTGAATATCGTGTTCACCACCAGGCACCCTACAGACTCTCGATCCCCGAGGCCACCGAACTCAAGCGCCAGCTTGAGGAGCTCCTGAGACTGGGTTTCATTAAACCTAGCAACTCCCCGTGGGGTGCACCCGTCCTCTTTGCTCGCAAAGCGGATGGAACTCTTCGTCTCTGCATGGACTACCGCGGCCTTAACCGCTACACGGTTAAGAACAGCTACCCCATGCCTCGTTCCGATGAGCTGTTCGACCGCCTAGCAGGCAACCGCTTCTTTACGAAGATTGATCTTCGTAGCGGTTACCATCAGATCCGCATCGCTGCAACCGACCAGCCGAAGACCGCGTTCCGCTCGCGATTCGGCCACTACGAGTTCACGGTGATGCCATTCGGCCTCACCAACGCACCCGCTACCTTCCAGAGGGCGATGAACGACATCTTCCGGGACATCCTGGAACAGTACGTTCTCGTCTACCTTGACGATATCCTGGTCTATAGTCGTACCCTTGAGGAGCACCTCAGACACCTCCGCGACGTCCTTGACCGCTTGCGCARACATGGCTTCTACGCCAAGCTTAGCAAGTGCCGCTTTGCCCAGCACAAAGTGGATTTCTTAGGACACTACGTGTCTGACCAGGGTCTGCACATGGACGACGCGAAGATCACTGCTATTGCGGAGTGGCCCGCTCCCACATCTGCTAAGCAGCTTCGCAGCTTCCTAGGCCTGACAGCTACTATAGTAACTTCATCCGGGGATACGCTAGGTATTCCTACGTCCTTACCTCCACCCTCCTCCGGAAGAACCCACCCTGGGCTTGGACACCCCTCCACGAGGACGCCTTCCGCGCCCTCAAGAAGGCGGTGACATGCGCACAGGTTCTTCACCTACCCGATTTTGACCGCCCTTTTATCCTTACCACCGACGCGTCAGACTCTGCTGTAGGAGCAGTGCTTTCTCAGGTCTTCCCCTCCTCTCCTGATTCCTCTCATCCTCGTATCCCTCGCTTCCCACCACCTACCCCTACCACCGCTTTCCGACTGACGCCTACTCGTCCAGCTACTGACGAGCCTTCTATTGACTATTCTCCTACCATCGCCGAGGACGGCACTGTCGAGTCTCGCTTAGGTGATTGTCCGATAGCCGTCTACTCCCRTCAGCTCTTGYCYGCCGARATTAACTACACTGCTGATGAACGTGAGGTTCTCGCAGTAGTTTATGCCGCTCGGCACTGGMGTCACTACMTGCACRGGGCACCGTTCACGGTGCGTAAGGACAACTCTGTTRTCCAGGCTTTTCTGACAAAACCGAARCTCACTCCTCGACAGGCTCGCTGGTGGCGCGACCTATACGAGTTTAGTTTCACCACTGAGCACATCAAGGGTGAGACTAATCGGGTCACAGATGCCCTATCCCGGCGCCCTGACCACGACCAGGAGCACATCCAGCTCTCT